AAGCAGAGTCCATGGAGGGGCTGGGTGCATAGTTCAGCACATGTGGACAGACCATGTATGGTGCCTTGTTAAAAAAAGAAAAAGAAAAGCTGTCCACTTTAAAGACCTGAAGGGAAAAGATCCAGCCTTCCCCACCATTCTGGCAATGGGATGCAAAACATCAGCAATAACAAAACCCTAAGCAAAATAAAACAAACACATACCTGAATGATTCTCAGTGTCATTCTAAGGCATCGGTCCTATTTTTTTCCTCAGTATAGCAAGCCCAAACTCGAATTGCAGCAACTGTCCATTGACAGTAAAAGCATCTGAGGAAGTAGACTGAAATCTACAAAAGCTCATGCTGCCAACTTTCTTTCAGTTAGTCTCAAAGGTGCTACAAGATCCTTCTACATACAGCAACTGTCCATGTACAACATCTGGTGACCATGCTATGCCATTCCAAACCAAAAGGTGCATCTAGGCATTCATCCAAGCATACAATCAATGCCAAAGTAGGCAATGTAATGTGGATGAGCATTGGCAACCATATCTACATCCGATTTGTCTGTGTATGGATATGTGCGAAATGCCTTAGGTGGGTTTACTCCAGTACTCTAAATATTTTATGGATTTTATTCTTTAGACAGATCAAATTTAATCCCTAATGCAATAAAATTCTAACAGATACAGATAGCGAATTTATACATGGCCAAGTGCACATTTCCTTTCCAGGGGTAGTGTGTTTGAGTGGCTTTTGTCTACACAACTCTCAGCACTCATGGATGAAGCCAGATACTTGAATTAAATCTGTATCTAAGTCTGATTTTGACACTGAAATACTTTGTTGCTCCAGTGGCTAATCTGTGAAGGGAGAATGAAAACAAGAGTCTGTTGTAGGTCTTCAGCCGCTATTGTTACAGCCCATGGCATCATTGTGGATTATCTGTCTGGGAATGGGCATAGGCCAGAGAAACAGCATGGGATTATAGTTTGGTATTTACTGTCCATGGTACTTGTGCCCCAGCGTTTCTCAAGGTTCTATTTTATTCACTATAATATGTAATATCAGTATGAAACTACATCATTACATTGTCGGATTTGGAGAAAAGTGCCATCTGTACACTAATAATCCTTGGTTATTTCTTCTTTGCATATACCTCACATATAAGATTGAACCACAAAGATGATGAAAGAGGGTTATAAACTGAAACTTAATCCAGATAAATAAGAACTGCTGTTAGCTGGTCTTAAGGAGGAAATGTTTTGCTGGCTGCACACTTCCTCTAAATCAGATGTGGGCAACTGCTGCAAAAATGGCTTCACTTTTTTTTTTTTTTGCTGGTGGGAGTAAGCCTTATTTTCCCCCATTAA